CCAATCCCTTGCTTTAACCCAAAATTTAATATTTTGCAGTTAGGTTTGATATTGTCTTGAAAATAATTGATTTGCGACAGTTTTAGTGGCTATATGTGTGATCTGCAGCAAACAATACGCAGTTTGACCTCCCAAAGCAGTGCATCTGTGTGCGGAAGTACGTCTCCGAATAGTTCCTGGGTGCTAGCCGGAGACATCTTCCAATATCTTAAGCCATCTAAATGACTTTTCCCATACTACAGCAAGGTGTGGTGTTCAATAGTCTAGTCAAGAGATGAGATGAGATGATTTGAGAGGAATAAATGAGAAGAGATGAGATGAGATGAGATGAGGTGAGGTGAGGTGAGGTGAGGTGAGGTGTGGTGAGGTGAGGTGAGGTGAGGTGAGAGTTTGTTTGCTTGTTTGTTTGTTTATTTGTTTGTTTGAGTAAAGAGAAGCACATCGACACAATAATGGTCATTTAGTGCTAGGAAAAAGTCAGACAGACAAAAACAGAAGAAGGAAAGTAAAGAATAGGGGGCTCTCGTGGACTAGAGGTTAATGTGTTCACCTCTGACTCAACAGGTCCCGGGTTCGAATCCGGGTAGCAACGGAAAATGTTCTTCTCTAAAGATTTGTTCATTTCACATCCTTTCCTACTCTCTAACATTGTTCTGTCGTCTGCTTTCGTCTCCACTTTCTGCCCTCACCCCCCTCCTCCTTTGCCCACCTCATCTAAGCGCCTGACTCTTTCTGCAGCCTTTCTACTGCTGCTCCTTAGCTCCTTATTACTGCTGTCTTTCAGCCACATCCTTGATCTTAAGGTAGGCAAAATCTACACCTAGCCTTCTCCGATAAGGCGAAAAAATCACGGAGGTCCGTCCCCTGTGCAAATTGCGCATGTTTTTTAACCACTAGTCAAAATGTCATTCGGAGCTATCCTGTTATACCACCAGCCCCGCTGTACCGCCAATTTCACGCTCGTCCTAAAGTAGGCGATATTTACGAGGTTTTACTGTAATTTATTCATAGAGGCCCCAGCCATCCACGTAGAAATACTATTTTGGTCGCTTTGTGGGACACATATATCATCTACTTCTTTTTCGTCCTGGTTCTCATATATCGTCTAAAAAGTGGACACCTGTCTGTCGTGTGCTCTCGCATGGTTTCCGGAAGTTGGCGTTGTTGTTATTAATATGTTGTTGTTGTTATTAATATGGTGTTGTTATTATTAATATGATGTTGTTGTTATTGATATGGTGTTGTTGTTATTAATATGGTGTTGTTGTTATTAATATGTTGTTGTTATTATCAATATGTTGTTGTTGTTATTAATATGGTGTTGTTGTTATTAATATGGTGTTGTTATTATTAATATGATGTTGTTGTTATTAATATGGTGTTGTTATTATTAATATGGTGTTGTTGTTATTAACATGTTGTTGTTGTAATTAATATGGTGTTGTTGTTATTAATATGGTGTTGTTATTATTAATATGATGTTGTTGTTATTAATATGTTGTTGTTGTAATTAATATGTTGTTGTTATTTTGGTTTCCCGCGGGCGGGGGCACGATGCATCTCTAACAGGTCTGTCTCCGAGGTTTTCAGCACCCCGCATAATTTAACAAAACTTGATCATTTTTGGCATAATTTCTGAGTATTTTCCTTTATCATTCTTTGTTAAAATTAACAGAATCGCACAATTGCACATTTTTTTAGCTAAGTTTGCATAATTTCAGAATTTTTCTGGCATAAAACGACGGGGACAGATATGTCTATACGTTGTACTGTTCTTGGAATGGATATCACATTACAGTATATTCAGCGGCGTCACCTCTGTACTTGGGTGTTGTAGCCTGGAACAATTGTGTCGTTTCCGCTTCCCCCAGCGGCATCGGTATTACATATGGTTGCTTTAACAGGACAAGCGGGCTAACCCACATTTTGAGGGTTTCCAGAAATCTTGACCTACACCAAAAGTGGGCATTGCCCTACCTATAGGAGAAGTTTGGTTTCACTGGTGTATATAATTATTTGTTTGGTTATAGAGAAAACTCTCCTTGGTTTTTTTTTTTTTAAAGAAACCGAACAAGGGGCAAAAACTTTACCTTCGATTTTCTGAAAACAGCATTTTTCGGGGTAGCCCTATTGTGCTTAAAAGCGACCGTGTAGAATGCCGTGACGATTTTCCCCATTTTGTTTAGATCATGGTTACGATGATGAGTTACGCTCGATCTGCGAATTTCGCAATCTTATCTGCGCAAGCAGTAGCGAGCCAATTTTTGAAACGTCAAAATAAATTAATGGCGGGGGAAATGGTGACAGCGTTGGTTTAACGCCCCTATCAACACAAGTAGTAGATTATTTAAGAGGCAGGACTTCCTGGTTTAACGTCCATCTCCGAAGGGACCGAGCCAAATAAGAATTTCATGCTAAGCGCTTTTCCCAAAGGACACAAAGTCAGAGGAACCGAGCTGAGGCTTGAAGCCTCAAACCTTCTTTCTCACGATTACCGGTCAGGTGGCCTAACCACTAGGCTACTGGTGTCATCAAAATAAATAGATGAATAAACGCACTTTTAAAAATGAATTTAGGTCCATTATACGATAGACCAGTCAGGGCAGCAAAATGATTGTAAACGTCTTACAATACCTTACATCGGCACAGCTTTCATCGTTAGACGGTGGGCTGCCTCCATTCTTCCTGATGCCCAAGAAGAATCTACTGTGTTGTAAACCTAAAGGATGCTACGCATGCGTCCAAGCAGAATAGCGGACATTATTTTGTTGTTGCAAAAAATATCTTCCCGACGTGGGAATCAAACTCATGTCTTCGGCGCCCAAAGCGAAGATTCAAACTATCATCATATCACAGCAGCCAGTCGAGATCGATCCTGAGATTTGAAGTACTTGTAACATGCAACTGACCAGGTCAAAAGCTGCAAATTGTATCGGACTAAAATGGCCAAATTTTCTAAATAACTTACCTCGCAAACCATACAGTCACTCGCTCCCTCCCC